GATCATAATACTGAGAATAGTTCCTTCTACGGAATAGAATTTAAACACTCACCGCCTACGATTGCACCGCCTATCAAATATTTCCACTTTTTTATTTTTTAATTAAAACATTTCGTGTGGATTGTTTAATTTTTCTACAAAAACATACGCTCATGCATTCTCTCTCATTTTGCCTCACATTTTGTTAAAACCATCTTTCCTAAAATCAGATTTATAAAATTTATTTACGATTAATTGTTATTATAATGTAATGAAATAGTAACTCAACAATACAAATTGAACACAAGTTACTATGATTTTATATTTTTATTACTATTCTAGTCATTAGTTACATTTTTGTGAACAATTTTTATTTTAGTCATAAATGTGCAAATATTACTTTTTATTTTTAATTGAACATACTTCTTTAATGTGTAGATTAATTTTTTTTTATCTTTTAGATTATGACCAAACCTTGATGCAAAATTTGCACAGATTTTTTTAATTTTTTTGATGTTGAATTTTTTTTTTTCCTTTTTTGGTACAATTTAATTTAAGAAGTAACATGATTTGATATTGGTACGACATCGTACTGCCACATTTATCATTATGATTGTACAGAACTGCTTTAATTTTGGGACCTAACCATACTGTACAACTAAAATAGTTACATTGTTTCGATCAAACCAGAGAAAATTGGATTTAAATTGACTGGACATATATAGATAGATTAGACCATATCAGACCAAAGTAGATTTAGAAAATATTAAAATGCACATACACCATACATTTATCGGACCAGACTAAAACCCGGTATACCCGATCAAAATGGATGAGACTAAACTAGACCTGATTTCCTTTCAAAATTTTACATATGCAATATTGATGTCAGACGAAGTTAAATATTCTAAGAACTTGTGTAATTTAATGTATTTTTTATAAAATCAATCTAAATTTGATAATTTGGGGTTGGGTAAACCTAGAGGGCCAAAAAAATTGTCATTTCATAAAATTTAAACCGTGATTTTGAGTAGTATAATATTATGGAAATTAAAAATTTTATACTTTCATGAAAGTGTTTACAATAAAGAACATTTTGTAAAGTAAGTAAAAGTAATGACAAAACTGGCAGTTTGTATATCTATCACAAACACTCTACATACCCCCATTGGTCTTGATATGGACATAGGATTAGATACGGTTAATTGATACTACCTCCGTCCCTTTTTAATTAGCCAATTTTGACTTTTCCAGTCAAAGATGATAAATTTTAATCTATTGTTTTATCTAATATATTTATGTAAAAGTTAATAAATTTATACTTTTATGATAGTATTTTTAACAAAGAACATTTTCATACGGAGTATAATTTTCATATGATCAATATTATCTTGCATAAATATGTAATCGATCAAAGTTAAACAACTTTGACTTGAAAAACAGTGTTTGACTAAATAAAAAGGGACATAGGGAGTACTTAATTGGTAGTGTACTGGTGCCGCATGCCAAATATCTAGTTTTCAAATCAAATGGTGCCGGTCCGGGCGCGCGGTTACGTATGTATATAAATCGATCGGTGGAGGATTTGATTTTTATGGATATGATGTAGAATATTGTACATATAAGTATGTATGTAAATCGAGTAAGTCATCACCGCCTATACATGATAGTTCAAATTAAATTATGGAGGTCTAGCTAAATATGAATTGATATAATTTCTTGAATACTTGAAAGTGTACAACATGAGATTTGTGTAAACTCCAAGTTGGATGTATCGATTGGCGGGTGCGTAAATTGTGAGGTTATTGAGTTATCAAATACTCCCTCTGTCCCGAATTATAAGATAATTTTTGGTTTACGATGTACGATCAAATGAATAGTAAAGATATCTTATAAAATGGGATGGAAGGAGTATGAAGTATTCAAGTTCTATGATATGATATGTATGAGATTGTGTGCAGTCATGCAGATGAAAATGACAATGACATAAAGATAATTATATGTAATGTTCTAAGTTAGCCGTGCCCCCAAGTAACTATCTGAGCTGAGTACGTGTAGCAGGAGATCCTCTCGCGGGGAGTCCCGGGGTTACTTCTGATGGGATGTAGGCTAGCTATCTGAGGTCATCGGCGAGGGGCCAGGACACGAGCTACATGCCTATAAACTCAAGGAACAATTGATATGCACTAATTAGTAGTGCATAAATGTATGTTTTATGTTTGATTTGTGTGTATTGTTTATCGTTTTATTTAGTTTGTAAACATTTATGTGATTTTAGTTGTAATTGTATTTTAATCTTCATTTATAAGTTGTAAAGTAGATTTAGGATTTATGGTGTTGGAAAAGAGGACTTTGAAGAGAAGAAAACAAGAAATTTGACTGCCCAGGAGCAAAACCCGACCGGGTAGAAATCCCCACCCGGTCGGGTACGATTTAACAACCGAAGAAGCAAGGAAAGTGCCAGACCCGGTCGGGTCCCCTACCCCACCCGGTCGGGTCAGACATGACCCGGGACCAAACGACGTGCAGAAGCATGAGAACATGGCGGATTATTTGATTTTGACATGCACCCGGTCGGGTGGGCACTTGACCCGGTCGGGTACCCGGCCCAAGGTGTTGAAAAACACCTATAAATAGCACACTTTTCCTTCACAAACATCAATACCTTCTTCCTATACTTAAGCTCAGTTTAGAATAGTTATTTCTTATATTTTTATAGTATGTTTAGTCTCCAAATGAGGAGCTAAACTTCCATTTCTTGGTTTTGCTCTTGAAGCAAGTTGATTATTAAAGTTGTGAGTTATTTTCTTACTTTCTCCTATTGATTATTAATTCTTCCATTAATCTCATTCTATATTAATGTTGGAGGGTTGCTAAGTGACGATTAGTTAACGTTCCAACATTAATTATTACTAGAAACGATCAACGAACCGATGATTAATCGTTGATGGTTTCACAAGTAAGTAACTTCGGTTTATTAATGCATGGTCGTGGTTAATAAACTTAAGAGGGATTAATTTTGTTGGTTAAACCGAAACCGTTGTGTTGAGGTTATCAATCTCAATTGATTTCATCAAGGAGTTAAATGCTACTATTATATCGGTATACGGTGTTGTTCTATATTTGATAAATAGTAAGGGTTATTAATGAACGGTCGTTGTTAATAACTACCCTCGATGAATTGGAGATACTCCGCGATTGAGTATTCGAGAGGGGATAAGTTATAGATATAACAATGATCGACTAAAATATATCAACAAGTGGAAAGTAGCAAGACCAAGTCCCTTTTATTCTTGAATTTAATCTCATATAAGTCATTCATCTTTGTGTTTAAATTAAATTAAATCATTCAACCCAAAAACCCCCCTTTATTTACTTCTTTCATTAAAAATATAATTATTCCTTTCCCTGTGGATACGAGCTCTACTTCACCTATACTACGTATAAGTGTTAGTATTGAATTTATTTTGACGCACCGTGACAAAGTGCCCGTCAAATTTGGCGCCGTTGCCGGGGAAAGACAATTATTTTTCTTTTTATTTTTTCTCAAAAAAAAAAAATTACTCTTCTATTTTCTGAGCTTACATGAGTATATGGATACCAAGATATCATCCCTAGAGAGTCAAATTTCCGTCTTAACTTCTCTAATAAAGGAGTTTATTTCATGTTCAAAATCTCAAGATGTCCATACATGCAACATTTGCATGTCACATAGGCATCTTACGGATTTTTGCCCAGAGCTTCAAAAAGAATACTTTGAACAAAGGAGTGATGTTGGTTTCCAAGAGAGGTATGATTCATTTTCCAACACATATAACCCATACTCAAGTTCTTATTCCAGCATGTCCACTGAAGACATGATCCGAGCTCTCACTATCAATGTGACAAATATGCAACAAAATATGTCACAATGCCCGCAAGAAACAGTGTCCAACGAACAGAACTTGGTCAATCAAGTGAAACAAATGCCAAGCGTTGTGAACCACATGGGCGAGGAGGAGGAGGAAGAGGAACTTACGGAGAAAGCTCAACCGGAGGAGGAACCTCAAAACTCAACTCAACCACCGGCCATTCCTGAGATCATGCCACCATTTCCTGAGGCTCTAAATGAAACACAAAGGGTGGAGAAGGACAAAGATATCTATGAAATCTTCAGCAATTGTGAGTATAATTTAGACTTCTCTTTGTTCACAAATAAGCAAGGAATAACGGTGGAGTTACACAAATATTTCATACTCCCTCTTATACCACCCGGATCAAAACCTCTTCCATTGACCATGCTTAGTGAAAATCATGGACCCTCATTCTCACAATATGAAGCGATAAAAATCCGGATATTTGATCCCGGAAAGATTGTCAAAATAGAGGGTCGAAAAATAATATGTTTCTATAAGAGTCACCCGGGTGAAAATTTGAAGAAGATGAGTTATCACGATCCAAGCTTGAACGATTGAACACAATGATGGCGTCGTGCCGCGACGTTAAATAAGGCGCTTCTTGGGAGGCAACCCAAGCAAGGTATGTTTTCTGTTATCATTTTATTAAGTAGAGTGTGTGTGCAAAAAAAAAAAATTGGGATTAACTATTATCCGACCGGGTAGACCCTAATACCCGCCCGGGTGATCTGGCAAAAACTTTCTGCCTCAGGTGAACAGCTTACACCCGACCGGGTCAGTCACTATACACGGCCGGGCGGTCGGGCAAAAGCCCGATAAGGGGGCGGGCGGGCAGCTTTCTTCCCCATTTCTTCTTCTCCCCCATGACCAAAAATCCCCCAAATCTCCATTGTTGAGCTCCAAAGCTTCGAAACCCCACCATTTCTACACCAAATCCATCAAAGACCCCATTTTCTTCATCTCCTCATCACCATCTTCACTCCTACACCCACAAAAAAAAACCGCCCGAAATAACCAAATATCCAAACCATGGCGGGTCCACCCATAGCTCAAATATATCCAATTGCAGTTCCAATTCCACCACCCATCAATGGCAACTAGTATCAACGCACAAAAAAACTCAGGTTGTGAAAGCCAAAACTTTGAATGTTTATACTACAAGTACAAAAGTTTTGCATATTTCAGTGTACATTTTCACAAACTACAAGTTTTATGCATATACAATACAACCTGGGGTTACTTTGGCATTCTATTTTGCCGTATATGTCTTATTGAATAACATCTATCAACTACAAACCCTTGGTCGCTAAAGAATCAACATTGCGACTTGCGAGTAATAGTAATAATATGAAGCATTATTGGAATTTGATAAAGGCACATGAAAGAAGCGCTATTTTTAGAATTTAGATAATCACAAATAATAATAAGACACGCCTTCGATCTTGAACAACCAAAAGTGAAAATTGGAAATTGATGAAAGCATGGATTGCAGATCCCAGACGTGGTGGAGTTGCAATTTGAGCATCAAGGGGGTGCCAGGCTGCTGTAGATGTGTTTCAAGCCGGGGCATGCAACTCGCAACTTCCCGATGCTCAATGGGCATCTGTCACAAACCACAAGCAAGTACAATATGCATATTAAATATTGTCGAACCAATACTAGTAGTGAAAACATAGATAAAATGGCCTTACCTTCGGACAAAAGCGGACATCAAGCGTCTCTAGCATGGTACACCCGAATATAGCAGTTTCAACAGCTTCCTCATCAATGTTGCAAGACTAGTGATTATTAATCCAAAGCAAAAACCAGACAAATCAAAACAAGGTGAGGCAAGACAGGATAAAGCAGGAGCAAGATCGCGAGAAATAATAAATAGTACACTGTATATCGACTTCCTCCACCCCAATTTAAGGTTCCATACACTATTGATGCCGTCTATCTGTCTATGTAACTTTCTTTTAGTGACTGATTTTATACAATAATTTTGTATCACATTGGAATTTAATTTTTGAGGTTAAATAGAACCTTTAGTATAGTCTCTAAATATGTGAGCTTAAATAATTAATATTAGTTCAAATATTACCAAAGAGTTAATTTTATACCGAGAACCTTACATTGGGATGGAGGGAGGAAACTTTTTTTTTTTTTGAGAGGAATTAACTGGGAGGAAACTTTTATGTTGCACCGACAAATAAACACAAAAAAAAAAATGTAAAACGAGAAAAGTAACATGGAAAACGTTACTTGTTCTGAAAGGCAACAGTGGTAAGAAAGGTTTCAATAAACTTTTCATAATGGTTTATGATATGATTAAATTGTCACCTACCAATGCCACCTACCAACACCCGAAGTGATTACTTGCATCAAAGATACCCCCTAACAAAATATTAAATGGAAAATTCACACTTTTAATCTTTCATTGGTTACATAACGTAATATAGACCTGCCATTCAGGTGTTGTGAATTTAGTCCCTTGATAGTTACAACTGAGATGAAAATTAGACCTCCGTTAGAATAACGATTTAGTATGGAGTCTATGGTTTCTGTGACATTCTTGGCAATATAGAATGCCGAGAATTCCAACATATATCTGACTGCCTCCACCCCACTATCACTGGACATGAGAAAGTCGCACACATACTATGCAAACTGCAAAGCAGAATAATGTGGTTGATACTTTTTATATCTAAATTATACTATCCTCTGTTTCTTTTTAGTTGCAAAATTGACAATTTGGCATTATTCACATTCTCTACTTTGACTACATTTTATTTATTAATGTATGAGACTTTTTTTAAATATTGTTAAATTAATCTCATTACAAATTTTAATAATCTGATTTTTAATTTTTTAAATAGAGAATAAAAATAATGATGGTCAAAGTTGTGTGTTGGCAAGGGCGGAAATGGGAATGCTGCAACTATAAATGAATGGAGGAAGTAACAGTTAGGGACTAAATTAACAAATATTGGAATACATGTCTCAGAAACATGTTTCAAAACAATTAGAGGGATTTAAAATGCAATTTCGCCGTGATTAAAAGCTGGAACATGAAAGACATATTCACCTGAAGGAATAGGTTGCTCAATCTGGGACACTCAAGCTTCAATATTTCCAGAGCACAACGGTTGCTGATAATGAAGAAAAGAGTTGATCAATAGTAATCGTATCGTTCAACAAACACGGCGAATAACCAGTACTAGTCATACTATGGAAGAAGATTAGTGTACCTTAAATTGAGAGAAGACAAGTTGGAACAAGCAACATTGACTTCCTTCAGATTTGCAGAGAGGGACAGATTTAGTGATGACAAAAGGAAGCATCGCGCCATGGGAATTACCACCTTCTTGATGTTAGGACAGCCAACAAAGTTGAGATTCTGCAGCAAACGATTTGTTAGCTGTTTGTTTGTGATGCGGATGTCACATACAGCTGATGCAAATGTCGACACTGTATGAGAAATTCCATTTCCGCCCCAATCCAAGTCATGCATATTTATGCACCCATTCAAGCTAACGTGGGTTAAATGTGTACAGAAATCAAGCAATTCCTCAATGGCAGACTGGCAGAGTGTCCCATACGACAAGTCCAACTCGATCAGGTCAGGGAGAGCATTTTCTTTGTAAAGAGGTTCCAAAGATGTATCACTAAGATACTTGCATGCTTGCAATTTCAATACCTATATGAATGATCGCAGAATAAGGACCAGCAGTTTATAACAAGATACCAATACAAAAGAAAATATAGCACTTTTTGTCCCCGAGGTATATCATTGGTACACTTTTTAGTACGCAGGTTGCAATCTAGTGTCAACATTTTCAGTCCTCCACTTGCCAGATGTAGCTATTTAAGTACTCCTCAATTACGGTTTTGAGATTGAACACTGAAAAGGTCCCTTTGAGAAAACTTAAAGGACTGACAAAGGAGAGTTTGTGACATCACATAAGGGGTATAACTCAGAGACAAAGTGTCATCTCTATGTGCAGGGCTCTTAAGAGAAATTATAGACTTCACCAATTCTAGAAAATTTTCATCTCTAGATATTACAATGTACAAGACAATTCAAGAAATAATTACTCCTGTGAAAAATCTAGACTTTAAACACTATTTGGTTATTCTAGAAACTAAAGACCAAACAAAAGGGAGAATACTAATAAACCCAACCTAGTGGGAACCAAATCATGTTTAGTTAGTATTTGAACAAGAGTGCAATGGCAGAAGGGTTCCCTAAATGTAAGCCTTTACTATGCAGCCCACATGTGTATATAAATATCTAGATATAAATAATAAAAATGCATGTTTAATGATTTAACTGCAATAAAAACATTTAAAAAAAGGTCCGCGGAAAGAAAAGTACCCTCAACTGCAAGCAAGAGTCATAAACAGGCTGCAAATTGACCAGGAAGGTGTAGTATAGGTCAAGATAAGTCAAATCTGGAAGCCCGCGTAAAGACAAGAGTCCATCAGAGCCGACTGATGGGCATGACATTAATACCAATGACTTAATGAGAGGACACAAATTTGTTGTGGCAGATAAACAATCATTCTTAAGTTGGCTGCAAAAAAAACCACAACGAGCAGTAGCATCATCAGTATGATACACAGGGACACAAAGTTAGTAATAGCCTAACAAGGACACTCTATCATAAAAGGCACTAGGCAGAGATTAGTAGGTCCTAGAAATATTTTCTCCTTAACCTTTTGTGTAGACTTCATCAATTCTAACTTCTGAGTTATGTATAGTATTGTGTATGACAAGATAAATTACAGAGATAATTGCATATAGCTTAAGAAAATTAGTGAATAATAAGTAGAGAATTACTTAGGAACAGATACAGGACCTAAATGACAAGTCTACTTTGATCATAGAAGTCTTTAAAGCTAAACACCTCAAATTCAAGTTATGACTTATCAGACACTTCACCCATATGTCAAGATATAATTAGTCAGTGCCTAGGCCAATTGATGAAGCCTAGCACCACCTAGACACTTCTAGACTTTACCAAGAGAATGTACCAGAAAAGTAACAAAATGACCTGCAAAATGAAGCATCCAAAGCAGTCAGGACTGGGCAATTAATTGATGCTTCGGAAAGTACACCACAGCCCTTCAATTCAAGTGATGTCATATGTGGTGCGTCAATATGCAGCAAACTCAGTTTGGGACATATACCAAGGTTAAGAGATCTAAGTCCAACCTGAACAAGGGCATAATAAACATTGAGAAACTTTGTATTATGATTTAGGATCTCATCATAAAATGTCAATTTGATATGAAGGGTAGCCTAAGGTTGTACTCAGTATTTGTTTGTTCATATTTTTAGTTTTTTACCCTTGTCTAATGTGGGGTGACTTTGACATTTTGGAAAACATTGTCAAAAAACAAATTTTATGAGTGTGTCATATAGAAAGAGTTAGTCAAAATAGAATTTATGGAGGCAGTGTGGGCCACAAGATGAGAATAATTATTGCTTAAAGCATATTAAGATCATCATCATAACCCAAGTGCCGCAAATGCTCCCACCAACGGTGGGGTAATGGGGGTCGAATGTACGCAGTCTTACCCCTGTACTAAAGAATAGAGAGACTCTTTCCGGATGACCGATAGTGAAAATCGCGTCGAAAATTACAAGACTGACTGCTGCTTCATAACAAAGAAGCGCAAACAGTTTAGTGAGCCATTTTGCTTTATTCCATCATATTCCCAAATCCCAAGCCAAAAAAATAGTGAGTCTTTGGCTCCATCGCAAATTAACACACTTGGTAAAATTGTACGCATCACTTTATAGACGGGTAAATAAACATCACATTATACAAATAACTATATACGGATGATTCCACTTACAGGACAAAAGGAAGCTCTTTCAAGATGATCACAGCCATCTAATGAGACTTGCTGAAGATAAGAGCATCTCCAATGATAAAATGTGCACGGTGCACACGTGGCATGAGAAATAGCCACATAAATATTAGTAAATAAATTCTTTCTCTCCTTATTTGAATGATTTTATACAATTTTGGTAAGTTTTTCTCTACAATGTCAAGGAGACCGTCTAGATGTTGACATTGTTGTTGACATTGCAGGGAAAAACTTACCAAAATTGTATAAAATCATTCAAATAAGGAGAGAGATAATTTATTTGCTGATATTTATGTGGCTATCATTCATGCTACATGTGCACCGTGCACGTTATAGCATTGGAGATGCTCTAAGGGCATCTGAGTTCAAGTGATTTTAAACCTCGACAACCAGCTAGGGAAAGAGTGTTCAATTTAGTACAGGAAAATTCAATAGATGTCAAGCCCTGGATCATTGCAAAACAAATTTAAGAAATTGAAAATTTAATCAGATATCTTGAAGGTGCAAATTAAAAAAAGTACTCCCTCCGTCCCATTTAAAGATTCCCACACGGTTTATGGTGTTTGACTGACCGTAAAGTTAATTGATCCCTGTCATTAATAAGATTATTTTTAGTAAATAAAATTTACATATTCAGAAACTACATTAAAAGTTTTATAATGTCGCAAAAGAAAAGTTAAATTTGATAAAAGTTGGATATATATAAAGTAAAACATTACGAACAATTCATGTTGACCGGAGAATAGCGGACGAGAACCTTTCAATGGGGCGGAGTGAGTATTAGAATTCAAAAACGAGCCGACCACAAAATCTTTTGGGACTAAGGCTTGGATGTTGTTGTTTGTTATATTAGAATTCAAAAAAGAAAATATAAAATTGCTTGAAATAGAAAATAGAAGCAGGAGAAAGGAGAGCGCATCTCAAGTCCACACATTACCCTCACTGACCACTCATACCAGTTGTACTGAAATCTCATGTTTACACATTACCTCATTGATCACTCACGATATTGTATGCAAGACATGATATAAGATTACCCAAAACAAAATACTGGATGTACCACAATTTGGTGCACAATATGGTACTCATTGATCAGTTATTCAGTTCAATAATGATATAAGCAAAATGAGTCATGGGCCCCAACAACATCTAGCAAAAGCAAGTCGGGTAACCAGGGTGATAGGAACAACGACAAGAAATGCTACTACAAACCTCACAATTATCAAGAACAAGGATTTCATATTAGGGCAGCCACCATCTTCTCTGAAAACTTCACAGACAGAATTTGTCAGGCATTCACACTCAGCAAGGTCCACTTCTTGCAAACTGGGACATTGCAATGCTAAGGTGATTAAGCATTCTTGTTTTTGCAACACCAGTTTCTGCATACACAATTAGTAATAATTAAATCACTATTACAGATGTTCATGACCAACACAGGATATTCTCTTCGACTAAAATGGAACATTCGCAAATGCTAGACACCTTGAGAGAGTTTGAAGTGATGCTAATTCGCTGGAGCAAAGGACAATTAGAAATGGTAATTGATGATAGCTTATCACTTCGTAGGTTCAGATCAGCAAATCTGAAATGAAAACAAATCAGTAGCAAGGAGAGATCAGAGCCACCACAAGGGAATGCAAATTTGACATATAACTGCTTGAGAAAGAATGTCCATTTCCCCAAGGGCTATCAGGAAAACGAAAGCATCATACTTGCGGCAATGCACGAGTCTTATGCTTTTTAGCATAGGAAGATCCAAAGACACTGTTGTTAACAAGTTGCAGTTATCAAGCTCCAGAACCTATACATTTCCAATATTACAATTTGTTAATCATTAAAAAAACAGTTTACCAAGTACCAACACTACTCTCTGTCACCAAATGAAAATAACATGGTGGATTTTGAGGCTTGACTGATGATAAAATAAGCTCTTTACTGACATTATTATCACTAGAATGAGAACTTAATATCAACATATTCTAAGACATCATAAAATTTCTATGAAATTGCAAAAACAAATTTAAATATGATAAAAATATAATTATTCCAATAAATTTGTATTTGTAAAAGACATATAATTATGGTGGGGAAATAACTTTTTATATAAAGTTTGGGAATATATATTACATATAAAGTTCTAAGAAGAGTATATTTCACTTACCTGGTCTTTGGTGAGAACTAAATGAACAAAAATAGTTCAAACAGGACTAGGTAAGTGAAATATACTCTTCTTAGAATCTGGTTCCTATATTGCCACTTGAACAGACACCCATTGACGTGCCAAACTAATTTCCTTATTTTGAAAAAAAAAAAGCACAATAAACTGCTGCTGCTGCAATGATCAAGAACAGAAATTCAAGTGTCTTCCCCTGTGGTAAACCTTCTTAATGAAAACAATCAATCCCATGCAACAAGAATGTAGTCCCTCTATATGTGAGTGATCTGTTATGAGTGCCAATGCACCATAAATGGCCTTGCAGTTCAAGATCTCCTTTCACTCCGGCTGTTTCCCATATAAACTTAAACAACCCCAGGGCCCGATCAAGCTGCTTCACTCCTCTCAAAAGCATTTTCTCTTCATATGATGTCAATATTTTCCCCATGCATAGGCGGAACTTATCCCCATGACCAACAGCATATAGTCCCCCACGAACTTCTACTTCAATATCGCTTACGCTACCATAAAGATAATACGTGAGAAGTGTAAATAAGCACCGAGATGAGTGGCCCAGTCTCTTGGTTAATATCTTTTGTACTAAGCTTTCTTGATGGCGGTTTTCCCTGTATCCAATGTTTTTATCTATCAGAATATCCCTTATCTGATAGAGACCTTCTTTCATGACCTCTATCTTCCTAACCTCTAGAGATAATTTTGTTACCTCACTCAAGCAGTCAGCAAGATCAATGAACATCTCAAGAATGTCTTCCCATTTGTGTGAAGTGGGAGGTGAATTGGCATCTCTTGTGGGTGCAACTCGCATCCATGAACTGGAATCGGGGTTGTAAGAAATCGCAATGTCCAAAACCTTCAGACAGCTCAAAACAATTTGCTTTGCCATTTTAGTTTCTTTACTAGGGAACCTAAAATCCAAGTACTCCATCTCAGATTTCAACTTATTTAGTATCACCTCAAGCGCACCAGTCCATATCTGGTGTTGAGTTACCTGGGGACATATCGTTGCCCTGACTACCTTCCTTTGTTGAGCTGAAACATTCAAGAACTCAGAAACCTTTGTGAGTGAATCCACGGTCATTGGTTCTCTCTCACCAGCTCTTTTAAAACAATGAAGCTGCTGGTTACCTTTTGCATTGCTCCCTAAAGACATAATAATATTTTTCCTCATGATTTCTTGAACCAAAGGACACCCAATAAAGTCTCTTGTTAGAGACTTAAAAAGATGCATGTTTTCTAGCAAAACGTCATCTTCAATTATCGATTCATCAATAACATTAACAGTCCTACCGTTAACGACATCCACATTATTCAGCAAGTGGGATAACATTGATAGCTTTGAGAAGGCTTTTTCATACCAATCAGACGAAAAAGACTCCAACTTTGGTTCCTCCAAGCAGTGGTATGAAATGGAATCCATTTTTATCACAGCATTCTGCCCAGCTGACAAAACCCTTGATCCACAGAGGAGATTTCTCACAGCTCTCATTCCCATCGCCAAACAAAACTTCACACCAATAACATTTCTATGGAACTCCCTTCCACTGAACCACCAAAAACTGGGTTCTTCCCGATACAGTTCACCGTCACATTATAATCATACTTTCGTTCACCTCATATGTGGCATTTCATCGATCAAGATAAATTGAAGCTTCACCTGCCACTAGAAAAAGTGTAAACTTTAGAAACATGTTCCTAAGGAATCCCAACTGAACATAACGAAAGAAAGAGGATATTTGTTTCGTCTGCGTAAAGAGCAGCCCCTGGGAGAGAGGATGAGGTGTCGAAGTAAAGGGCTAAGAATTCACGAGCTACAAAAAGGCTTCAATTTGAAGACTTGGAAAAAAATTGGAAATATCCCACACCGAGAACTAAGGAGGAGTTACGCTGTAGAATCTATATATTGGGTAACTTGATTTCTTAAATCCTCACGCAGCCACGCTGTAAGCACAAAGCGAACTATTCTTTCGCCTTTTACTAAAGAATACCGTGTGTTTGTAGCAATCAGTGGCATACGCTCATTTTTGGAGGGTTCCTATATTGAGGAGCCCAACTAATTCTAGTTCAAATTGTTTTTAGCTGTAACTATGTGATTATTAATGATGTATTATTTCTCTGGTGAGTACACTATGTACACTTCTGTGATGCTTGTGTGTATTCAATCGAATAAATTTATCTTCTGTTACGAGATTAGGTTCAAAGTTTCCCTTGAATCCTTTTAATTAAACAAATATGTTTGATTCAAGACAATTTCGAGAATGGGAATAATAAAAATTTGTTTTGGTGATTTCATCACTAACATAAATTGGAGCAAGTGTTACGCAATTAGGTGTCTTGGAAAAAAAAGGCATGACTGGTTTAACACTACTAAATTTGAAATTACGGGCATTGTTAGCAAGGGACTTAAAATTTCGAGAATATAGAATTTAGAGCATTGTAATAACTTCAATGTGATACATTATGGCTCGAGTAATTCATTACAAATAAAAAGTTATATTCCTGGAAAATTTATAATATCTACATCTGAAATGAGAAAATTTGATGTGTAATATGATTATAGTCTCAAATTTTTAAAATAGCGTGCAATTTATTCATCACTTACATGAAGTCTATAATGTATATGTCATATACGAGTATATCAAATCGGTAACTCTACTAGTCTCATTTAAGCTATCATAATCTAAGCTAGATATGAAAATTTCAACTTATATACGTAGTATTAATTATAAAGATCTACCCTTTATATTATGTATTTAGTTAAGTTTGAATCCGTGAGTTGTATTTTCTGGCTCCACCCGTGAGCTAAGTAGTTAACTCGCTACTCGATAGCTACTCAGTCAAGGGCCGAGTAGCGAGTAGGACCGATTACTCGGGATTACTCGGTGATTACTCGGCCATGTATTAATTAAATATAATAATATAGGTGCTTGAGATTATAGATATATAATAATCTTAAAATAGTCTTTAAATTGCCTTAAATTGCATAGAAGTTAATAAAAAGAAAGAAATCCTATTATCCTAATGACGAAGTAGCAAAAGTCATAAAGCAGTCAATCATCTAATAAGTTGGTCTGATATTAATCTTCCTTGGGTTCAAGGTCATGATTTCCTTTTTCATCATCCATGTCCCCCAAATAGATCTTCTCCAAATAGGTCTTTAGTAGTCAGATTCCCCACTTGTTCTTCCTCTTCCACTTCTGGGTCATCTAAATCAAAAGATTTTGTGTGTGTATTTATCGTGAAGGAAAGGAGGGGGGAATATACGAAAGAAGTGATATCAATTATCAATTATGACTAAAGTTCCAAACATACACACTACCAAGGAAAAATTAATATAAAATTGAAAGCTTAATATGAAAGGAACTTAATTAATAACTAAGAAACTTAGCAGCTTGGAATTTTGTAGTAAAAAATTGTTGTTACAGCAGTTTGGATAATACCATGATTGATTCAATTTTTTTTAACAATGTGGAAGAAGAAACAAGGGAAAGAACTTATCCGTTGATTTCACAATCGCAGCTCCTCGCAGCAGCACTGTAGCACTCACAGCTCCCTGCAGTATCACTATATATAGCAGTCACAGCTCCTCACAGTAGCGGTCGGAGCTCGTGGCAGTAGCAGTCGCAGCTCCAAACAATGTAGCGGTAGTAGTCGAAGCTCCAAACGGATGACTAGTAGCGATTAATTTCATAGGTTTTGTTAGTGCATGTCTTTTTTTAATACCGAGTAATAGCCGAGTACTGCCAATTTGACTAACTCACCGAGTTGACTAACTCGCCGAGTAACTCGGAAAATTAACTCGAGCCGAGTTAAGGACTTAAGGTGCTACTCTACAAGGTAAGAGAATGAGTAGCGAGTACTCGCTGAGTACTTTTGGGAGAAAATGACTTTTCCTATTATGGCACTCAAATCAAGTTTCTTCTATCTTTTAAGTTTTAGCTCTATCTCATATTGTCATCATATAGACCATGTACGTTAGACCATGTACGTGTATGTGTGTGTAAGGTTGTTAACTAAAAAAATAATAAAAGTCCTTCACATTTTTGTATACACACTTTTACACATGTATGTGTAGACTTTTTTTTGTCTATACAGAAAAACGTGTTTTGTTTGGGAGTACAACAAGAATGCTCCTTTGCTTAAATATTATTATAGCTGAACTTTGGCCAAAATATCTTGTAAACCGATCACAAAGACAAATGATGATCAAGTTCTTTTTGTTAGGTGACTAGTACATGACCCGTTTAATATGTCCTTACACTAAACCACATTAGCTAGATTTTCACAAGAGGCTGAACTCAGATTTCCAATTCTGGACCGTAAGTCCGGAATGTAAATCCGATCCAAACTGATTCCAAACTTGTTTTTTTTATCATCAAAACAGGTATCTATTCATATCAAAAGATTCAGAATCATTACATCAAGCAAAGGAAAATAAAACTGACACCAACTGAAACTCCAACAATTACGACTCTAACAACTACGACTGTAATCCTATGGTGAGACTTTGAGACTGATTCCAAACTTGTTAAATAGGCTAAAAGCCTAAAACACCAATCTTGAAATGGGTCAACATCAAGAGCATAATCAGCTCTAAATAAGGATGGACCCGGTCCTGGTCCCGGTTTGGTCCTGGTTCTGGTCCCGGGTAAGCCGGTCCCGATCCCCTACATTTAAGCCTGAGACCGACCCGGTGGTATACAGATCCTGGTCTCGGGCCGGTTCGGGCCTTATTTGATTTTTTAATTGCAACTAATATTAAAATGTGACAATAATGTGACTAATATTAAAATGCAACTAATATTAAATTGATCGTGTAACTAATATGATAATGTAGGAAATTTAAAATTTAAGTAATATGATAATGTGGCTCATATATATATATATATATATATATATATATATATATATATATATAATTGTAACAACTATTAAAATGTAACAAATATTGAAATGCAAACTACTATTAAATTAATTTATGTATATTCGTATATAGTATGTATATATATATATATATATATATATATATATATATATATATATATATATATATACATACATATACATATATAGTATATATATGTATATATATATATTCATGTATCTATAAATATAAATAAATATATATTTGTATATATGTGTGATTGATTTGTAAGTATAAACTATAAAGTATATACTATACTTCATAAATTAATGTAATTATAATTAATGTATGTAATGAAATCATATACAGTAATTGTGACAAATAAATGTAGCAATTAGTTAAATATAAGTATAAACTATAAAGTATATCAACACTTCATAAATTAATGCATGCAAGTATAATTAAAGTACGAAAGTAATAAGATAATATACCTAATATATAACATGTAATATAATGTTAACTAGTATCTTTACCCGTGCCGTGCACGGATTAAAATGATTTTGCTTAGTCTTACTTACGAAAAATCACTTATTTAATTGATTATAACATTGGTTTACAAAGTATATTTTAATTTATTGATTATGTCTTATTTTTTAACTAATTATCTAAACATGTTTGCAGTTTACATTTTCTAATGAAAAGAACATTTCTACACCTCTTAATTGCATTTAAATGTAATTAATCTTTTCAACCATCTTTACCTAAACAAAAAAATAAAATCATCAATGCTTATTTTTATCCATTAAATTTCATTCGTGGCTTAGTTATTTTTTCAAAATTAACTACACGTCATTTGCAATTCATTTATTTAAAAATGGGTATAGTCAACTTTTTTGGAGATAATAGCCCTTCAAGGTTTTAGATTTTCGATTTAGTCTTTCGATCTCTTTCCAGAACATCATAGAATAAATAATTTGTGGCAGTCGTATTTAATTTTAATGAAGATGATGGCAGCAACAACGTAACACGCTACATATTGTGATTGGAGCTATGGATTTATATTTCATTAGACTGAGTTATTGAGGGTAATATGATCTTACTAAGTAAAATAGGTATTGTTGGACTTATAGTATGATCCAAAAGATAATTTATGGAAATTTGAGTTTTCAAGTATTGTGATATTATTAAAGTTGTATGTGTGCAATTTAAAAATGAGAAAATGAATACCATAGGCCAGACAATTTTATTCTAAATCAACAATTTCATTGGAAATTTTGTGAATATGAGCTATTAAACATATCTTACCTTTAATTTATTTAAAAACATTGACTTAAGAGCTAAATGACCTCATTGCATAAATTCATACATGAATAAAATTCATATTCATCATTTTGAAATGCTTTTAAGATTTGTTTTCTCAATTAGATCATAATTAAGGAATTCATTTTTGAGGTTATTTGTGTAACTTTTGTACTCCCTCTTTCTATTTTAGTACCAAATCATGTGTCATAGTCTCAACTTTGGTGATTAAATAAAAATTTAAATATTTTTAAAATATGAACAATTAATTCCATAGTAAGATATTTTAATTTTCTATTTCTATCTCACTTCTACTTGTATTGTGATTAACTCTATAATAAGCTAATTAAATTCAAATTTTACTCATGAACACTTTCAAGAGATTTGTTGAATTCTAATCTAATATACGGTTCTAAATTTTAGGGAGGACTTCATTAAATATGTTTTTAATTTGATTGATTTTTTGTCTGATTGATTTTGATTTGGTATGATCTAATCTGGTCGGGTCATATAATCTCGTCGGGTCATATTATCTGGAGGTTTTTCAACTCTTTCAATCAAACAGATTTACCTTGTTCAAGTCCATCTAATAGTCCAGACAATAATAGTCTTTAGTTCAAAGCATAAACCTTAATTCAGACATTAGGCTCCACATATAGCTCGAAATGCCAAACATAGCCCGAATCTATGAGCCCGTT